TGGTAGGAACCCACCTCTGGTGCAAAGACATCTCCATGGTCATGTGGCCGGCATGATTAAACACTGAAGGTACAGAGAATGCTGTTTTCTTCCCACCAAAGGTGGTCCCTATTTTTCTACTTGCATTTTTACATGCTTTCAAATTGCTAGGTTGGCAGAAGCTGGGACAAGTAATGGGAGCTCACTCCCTTATGCGGTGCTAGGGATTCGAACTGCCGACCTTTCTGATTTGACATGCTCAGCATCTTAGCCACTGATCCACCTGAAGGATAATGGAAGCCAATTAAATGTAATCAGTTGGTAACTGGACCAAACTGAATCCAGCCATCAGGGAAAATCCATGAAAGTACTCCAACAAAACTAGATTAAAATGCCTATTTGGCATGTCCACCTCACTACTGGAAAAACAAGGGAAGTTTCAAATCCCCAGAGAGAATTCTGCAATAGCGAAGCTCTGATGACTCCTACAGCAAACCTACAGAAACATGGAAAATGTCCTTTCAAATTTCATTCGGGATATATAAAAAGAAGTAGGAACATTAATGAGTGTAGGGGAAGCAATTGCAAGAAGCATACTGAATTTAAAAACTCAATTTTACAGGTTGACATCAAAGAAATTACTGTGCAGCTTGGCTCTTAAACAAGTAAGGCCTGGTTTCAATCTTTGTAAATGAATCCTCGCTCCTTTTAATGACACAACTGACTGAAAGGGCTTAAATGTCCAGTCCTAGACCAAATACATTATAGCAACAGATTCCACCTGTTCTGTAAGACATTTTATCTTACAAAATCTCTTTTGCAGAGAATACAGATTTTTTTTTTTCATCTGAAGGAATGCGGTGTATGTCAAAGTTGAAAAAAAATTCTGCATATGGTCATCACATGAAACGGCTTTTAAATAAGGATTTTTTCAAGTAAAGCGCTAGATCACCATGTTGCTATTAGCCTAACAAAGCAGAAAATAAGAAACAGCCTCGGAAAAGACAAAATGTCTGCTTTGCAAGGAAATGGATTCTACATCTGTTGATGGCAACCCTAACCAAAACTACATCTGTTGATGGCAAAGGAAAATATTTTTTTTCCTTCTCAATCCAAGGAAACTGTTCATGTTCTCAATCAGTGATTGAATGTCAGCAAGAGACTGGATGAAACAGAGGTAGTGTTAAAAAGCACATCTGGGTACAAGGCAACCTTCAAAATTAATGAGCCTGTTTGTTTGCTACTTACTCAGTACTTGACTCAGAGTATCTCAAATCTTCAATAACAATAATCAATTGAAAGAAAAACATACTTAAAAAAACACAAACCAAAAGAACAACATAGAAACATATAAAGCACTATGGGAAAATAATGCACTGGGCTATACCAGTGCCTGGTGGGAGGTGAGGGAAACAAAACTTTAATGCCTTCCAAAAAAGCAGGCAGGGTTGGGTCAAACCGAATCTCAGGGGAAATGCTGTTCCAGAGGGAAGGAACAGCAGCAGAGAAAGAGCTTACAAGATCCTTGAACTCTCAAATTCCTGGTTTGGAGCATATCCAGATTTAGCTCTAAGCTTAGATATCTAGATTTAAATAGTCTAGGTAAAGTCAAAGAACTATAAGTGCCAGATTCATGTAATACATTTTCCTTTTTTAAAATACTTGGAAACTTTGGCTAGTCTGGATAATTGCAGCCAAGAACAAAACTGACTTTCCTATGACATTTCTCATCACGCAAAGCCCTACATGTTCTAGGGACTACATTATTTGAAAGAACATGGGAGGAGGTTTTAGTGTTCAAGTTCTTTTAAAAAAACATTCTTTCCATCCCTTCAATCAGACACAGTTTGCCTAGAACTTGCCAGAGAGCCTTTTCAGTGGTGGCCCCCAACAGCAGAATTCTATTAGGGAGAAAAGCCTACCTAATAAATGCCAATCTTCTTCTGCCAACAAGCAAATACACATTTCCCCCCAAAATTTTAAACATTTAAGCTGGCTTCCCGAGGAAGTAGGTTTCATTTGGTGGGCTAATTTATATCTTAAATATTGGTTTTTGAGTTTCTAACCAAAGTTTTCATCGTTTCCCTATTGTTGCTAACCGCCTGGAGTACTGTTTATAGAAGGCAGAAAATAGAATTCATAAATAAATGCCGAGCTCTAGATGTCCTACGTATAACATGGCAGAAAATCAGTCCCCTCCAGATTACATCCTCCCACAAGACAGACTTCCAACCTTTCCATGACCTTTATCTGGTTCAGCCCAGCCCACCATCCTAACAATGAAAACTTTTATTTCTGCCAATCCAAACTCAGAAACTTGGCCTTCCTATCACCTAGTTCTCAAGGGCCTCTCGCTGCTTTGGAAGCTGCGGGATGAGAATCTCCCATCACTTTAGTGCAAATTCTCCAGCGTTATTAAAAAAACATTCAAGGGTGGCTCTGAGCAGCAGCTCCGAGCCCTCCTCTGCTAGAGACCGCCAGGATTTCAACAGCACTGCTTTGGAATTGCTCAACCAAGAACAAAGCCCTGTCTATGTCCACCCAAGCAGCAAGCTGGCGGGGAGAGGAGGAGGGATTCATATTCCTGGGCATCCACAATCTCCTGGCCTCATGCATAGGACGAGCCACACATTCCCACGCACTGCAGAACCAGCTGGCTGGGAACATTGTAATAAGCAAGGTCGGCTTCCCCAAACCAGTCAGGCAGCTTCATGGGAGAGTGAAACCCATGCTGAATAATAGCCCTACGTTCTATTTACCTTTTGCAGCAATTATCTCATCCCTGGCATCTCGCTGCTGCATGATTCATGGGCCAAAGCAAGTTGATGCACGACACCCAATTAAATAATCTTATCTCCTGCTTGCATCTCAGTTTATTCCCAGAGCACAAATTGGGGGGGGAAATGGGTGAATGAACATGTATGGCGTGGGAGGGGGAGAAAGGGGGGAAGAGAAGGAATAGATTTCAGGGCACAGACTGAGCCATTGGACTCCCAAGAAGCCTGAGAACTGGCTGGCTCAACTGCTAAGCACTCCCTAGTTTTGACTCCAAGATGCTACTTTACAGCCAAGAGATAGCAACTTCTAGGCCAGGCAGAAAGAAACCTGGTACCTTTGGGCCTGTAGCTCTGGCTGAAGTGAGTCCTTGGACAATTTTTGCAGAATTCCTTGCAGCAACAATAAAATTGTGTAGTCCAACAGAATGTGAAGGAGGGAGACCAGGGGTGACAGCTGCTACTACATCTGCTCAAGCCATCACCAAGCCCCCTTTTTACTATCTTGTAAACACAACACAGCACATAACAAAAGCACCACCACCAAGATCATTTCATTTTAATCTCAAATATAAAAAAGGAGGGAGGGAATTCTTAAAATCCAAAGTATTCCTTTCATTCATAATGGCTCCCATCACAAGAAAATGCAAATACTCACAGGACCTAGGGTGCTAAGATCAGCACATTTGTCTATGTACACACCTTTTCTAAATTGTTCACTCATAAAGCAAAGTAATTAAGTTACACCACTTTTTCACCTTACAGAATATATTGAAACACATGTTAATCAAATGGGTTAGGTTACGCAATATGCCAAGTAATGAAAAATTAAACTTAATGCTAATCAAGTTCAATATGTCTGTTATTGCATTTGCTAATTCTTTAGCTGATCCAGTCAAATGTATCGTGTGAACACTGCCATTCAGGCTAGTACACTTTTCCCCCTTCCAGACAAATGTGTGGGTATCATATATCTACACGGGCCTACTAATATGCATCAATTGCGCAACCCTATGTATCACTCTGAATACAGTCTTCATTTAATGCCTCTAGTTACTTATCTGTACAGCAAACATGTTCTCTAAATCCCATTCCCCCTTTAACCGTTTTCTGAACGCAAATACACAGAACTATCCTCTGACATGCGTACAAGACCGCTAAACTCCAGGGGGAGATTAGAGAAAACTGCAAATCTCGCCCCCCGCCCGGCGTGGTTGAGGAATAAGATTTCATTTGAAAAGAAAGCTACCCTAGCTACAGCGCGGACTGACTGAAGCCAAATCCTACGTCCACGCTCCAGTTTTTCCAGCTGCTCCAAGCTGAGAAGCTGGCGCTGGCAGCAAAGTTTGCTTTAAGTAAATAAAAAGTGTAAGATTGTTTCCCTTGTAGCTCAAATCAGTGCCGGTGAAATAACGCCCCCCCTCTCAAACCGGTCCAGCTAAATCGCTGCCCCCGCTCCCTCTTTCCCCCAATCTGGAATTAAACAATGATCGTTTATTTTCTTTGTGGTCGGACTCCAGCAAACTTTTTCCCTCCCCTTCATCTCACGGGGGGCGGAGGAGGAAGGAGGGAGAGAGGGCAGAGAATTAGCTGAGAACAAGGAAAATAACTTCAGGGACCCGCATCTCTCGATCCTGGGAAAGAACGCTGGAAACTTTCAGAACGGAGTCTGAAACGACCCAGCCAAGTTCTTTTGAGAAGTTTGAAAAGAGGAAACGGAGAGGCCATGATCTCGTGCCCAGGGGAAAAAAAACCCGGAACGGGTTCGTCCCAAGTATCCTAAAAGTCTGGATGGAAGGGGATTCCCGCACTCGATCCTAAACCGGCACCCCCGAGGCTCCTTACCTGCCCCTAGTGCCAGGCGGGCCAACCACGCGACCACCAGAAAGCCGCCAAGCAGCCATGCCCGCCCAAGGCCTGGGAACCGGGTCGCCGAGCCCATTCCCCCCAGTCGGGTCTTCAACTCCTGCTGGCCGCACTATAGATCCATGGAAGGGGCTAAGCTCAGGCTAGAGCCAGGCACCAAGGCAGCGAAAGCTCGGCACCGCCTCCTCGCTCTCCGGACCCTGGGAAACTTCTCCAAGTTAGAACGGGGAGGAGCGACCCTGCCGCCCGGGGGCGGGGTCCGCACCCAAGCCCGCCTGGCCTGCCTCGGCTCAGGCTCCCACGCTCCCTTCTTTCCCTACACCCCACGCCTCTGTTGGGCGGGCAGGGGGGGGGGAGAGGCGCGGGGAAAGGAGTGTGCGTAAAGTCAAAGACAAGCGTGGTGCTTTGCAGGGCACCGCTGCTCTTCCTCTCTCCTTCCCGCTCTTTGGAATGCGGGGGAAGGGGGCTACTGGCTCCCTCCCCTTTACACAGCCACAGGGGCATCTGGATTCCAGGGGGGGGGATATCCGAGCAGGAAGGCTCTTCGCTCAGTTCTTTCCACTTGATGCCGTGGTGGGTCGTTAGGTTGCGATCAGTAAGATTTGAGGGGTTTCTAGAAGAGGGAGTCCAAAGGATCGCCTAGAAGGGGGCTGAGGCACACACAAAAAGTGGTGGGGGAAGAGAGAACAAACAAGGCCGGGAAATCGCTGTGTGGCTTGCGTCGGTTGCACGCTCCAACCATCAAATTGCCTCGCATTTTCCCACACACGACCCGACCAAGTCTTCCAAACGTGACCAAAAACAGTTGCTGTTTTCCTCCGCGTCAAAATCCCCAAGGAGAGGGAAACTTTCCATCCTTCCCCCAGTTGAAAGGTGGAGGGAACAGCCCACACAGCAACGTCTGACTCCTTCCAATAACCCAAACTCGGCGCGCTTGCTGCTCAAAAGGGGAGGGGGGAAGGAAGAGGGGGGGTGCGGTGCACAAAGAAAGTCTAAAAAAAACCTTCCAGAAATTTCTCATTTCTAATCTTTGAAATGTTTCAAAGGGATCCATCATTTGGAGTGCAAAGCAGGCCCCCATCCTCCAGTTTAGTGCCTCTCAGATATTCTACCATCTCAGTCAACATCCACAACCACCCATACAATGGATGGGGATGATGGGCTTATTATAAGATACTGAAAAATAGCACCAGACTTCAGTCTCCAAGCATTACTAGCAGCTCCCTGAAAATTGCACCATCCTGAAGCTGCTTTCTTTTAAAATGTGCATGGACTGCACACAGACAATTAAGAAAGAACTGGGAACGCAATCCTGTAAAGAATATGTTAACTAGATGTCCCAAAGGTGACTCCTAATAAGTACAGCACTGGGAAATGGGGAAACAGCAGAATGAGAATAGGGGAAAGTCATAGTACAGCATATTTTTTAGATTTGTGGGTGAAGTGACTTTGTGGAAGTGACCCAAGAGAACAACCCTCTCAACCAAATATGGAAGCAGAGGAAGCATAATGATTCCAATCTCCAGAGGAATACAGTAAATATATATTCCACCCCATTCAATAATCTTTTGTGCTGAATTTAATTAAGTTAGATGACTCTTAGCTTTTTAAATGAAGGTTTGGCTCCATGCTCCACCCTTAAGTTCCTGAATTGTTTCACTTGACTTATTTAACTTCTTTGTCCCTGGTTTTCCAAATGTTGACAGTGGAAATAAATACTTGCTTGGCTTTGCAATAATATTGGTGGGGGAGAGGAAGTACTAAGAGATCAGGATGCAGTGATGACAAAGAGGTTATGTACCACATTAGTGGACCTTGACATCATTCCTTTTCTATGAAGTGATGGATAAATTCATTTCCAAAAATGAGATTTCTACCCTAAATGCAAGTTATAGGAACATGGTGCCTGTAGTTACCGGTGTGAACTCAGATATGTTTTTAGTCCCCCTAACCCTCAATTCTAAACTCTAAAATCTAAACTCTCAAAAAACTTTCAAATGAAGAAGTAGTGGCATGTCTCTGATGACATATTTCTTGAGCTTCACAAAGATCCCACTTAAGAATCCAGGGAAGGACGGAGGGTGGGGGCTAGATTACTACAGCATGAGTATTTTGTGGCTGTCCATGCCCACCATGGCTGCCTTTGGGGGAAGAGGCAATTGTCTCCTGCCAGGTGTTCTGCAGATGCTCACAAAATTGCAAACAAGTCTCCAATCTGAAAAAAATGTAAAATATTGGCTGTTCGGTTTACAGTCTCCAAAATCGAATATTTACTAATACTAAAATCTCTCAAGACCTGGTTGTGCCATCAGGCCTGGGTGGGGGGAGGTTTCCAGAGAACCAGAGACTTGTTTAGATGAGGCCCGTATACTCCACTAATGAGGTGCGCTCTGCTTGGGGTTTGTATATATTTTTTGGTTTTATCTTCATTTTTTAATGCTAATTTTTCTATTTTTAAAATCTCTGTTTTTAGGTATACCACCACTCAGGGTGACTTCTCACGAGATGGGCAGCTATATAAATTTGATTAATAAATAATGCAATTAACAACATATCCAAGTTGGTACACTGGCATGGGAGCACAAGGAAGATGTCAACTGACACATCTGGAGAACATCTGGTTGGAGAATCCAGGTATTGAAGATGTTGTTTATATGTTAACGGGCAATGTTGGTATTCTATAGAATGCCTAGGAAATCTATAGAGTGTGTGACCTTTTCAGGCAAAATATGAAATGTCTGTGTTATTTTAACATGCTATATACCTGTGATGGCGAACCTATGGCACGTGGGCCACAGGTGGCACGCAGAACCCCAGCTCAGCTTCACTGTGCAGATGTGTACACCTCCAGTTGATTTTCATGTCTCTGCCTAGCATGTGTGGGCGGCAGGACACATGCAGGAGACATGGGCACATGGGTGGGGGGGTGAGGGGAGCTCAGGGGGGGGCACGGTGACCCATTTTTGTTCCCAGGAGGCTGCAGGGAGGCCTACTAGGCCCAAAACAGGGGGTCACACACTCATGTGTGGGGAGTGGGGGAGCACGGGGGGTCGCTCGCACATATGCAGGGGGGCAGAGCGTGGGGTTGTCATGTGTGCATTGCATTATGGGGGCGCAGGTGCTGTCATGCGTGTTCACACTTTCGGCACGCGACAACAAAAAGTTATGCTATATACTTTCCCTGGGCATTGTATATAATATCTTACAGAATGAGAAGAATTATTTAGGCCAAGTACGAAAAGAGAGTCATGAAAAGGATTAGGGTTAGATTTATTATCTTTATTGAAAAGACCTATATGAAAATGAAAGAAGAAATGCAAAATAAAGTACACGACTTTCTTACTGGAAAAAAATACAAGCAAGCAAGACCAGTATTGACTTATTTGTTGAAACAAGGAAGGCTAGAATGGCATTTTAGTGGGAGTATATTATACTTTGCCAGTTTGTCTTTTGGCATTGCATAGAATATCTTGGAAATTGTGAAATATTAAGCATTTCATACTTTGACCGCCCATTTTTAGCATTCTATAGATTTCCCAGGCGTTCTGTGAAATGCCTGATTTCACATATTCATGGTAACATATACATTCTTTCAGTTATACCTGGGAGCAAACAATGACTTTGGGCCATGGATACATTGCCTATCTCTCCTATCTTATTTTTGCCCGGAATAGATGAAAAACCATAACTTTATAAGATGTTTTGGTAGGTTTTAAAGTGTGAGTATGTTGAACCATGGAATGGAGGGAAGAGAACTGAACGGGAGCAAACCAGCTACTATTAACAGAGCCAGTCAAGATTCATAAAGCATGCTAAGAGTGTTTCACTCTAATAATACTCTTTTCAGAAGGTTGTTAACACAACACTACAAAAGTTTGAATGAACGCTCACACAACCCACTGTGAATCCTAGATGGCTCCTGAACGTTTTACATCTCAGATTTACTCATAGTTTTTTCCATGTTGGCCTTATTTATTCTGACGTGTCTGCCTGTAGAAATTGCCTGTGGCAGAGGGCTAATGTAGGGAGTAAGTGCTCTCATCAGTGCTCAAGTCGTAGAAGTGGTGGAACCTGTCTGAGCCAGGCCCGCTGCTTGCTACAGGCAAATAACTCACATCTGGCAGCCTGGCTGCCTTCCATCCTCATGAACAGAGAGCCGAAGCCAGGGACTTTCAGGAATGTTCAGGCTGCCACTCTGCATGCTGCGTTCCCACTCATCCTTTGCCAAGGCTCTCAGAGGAGGCAGAGAGGCAAATCACACAACTTCTTTACCCCAAACCAAAGGCCTGCTCCAACTGGACCTCTCCTTAGAACTAACTCTCCCACCCCCCTTTTACAAAACTGTAGTGTTATGTTTTGGTTACATCAGACTAATTTTCAAGACCAGGACTGAAGGAGGATGCGTGGGTATTGCTTCTGAGCCCCAGCAGATGCTTAAAACGTACATTTGCAACACAAAAAAGTCAGTGGGGGTAATTAGTTTAGGTGCGGCCTCACGAAGCCTCAGATAAAATCCTTGAGCGCCTTTAAAGTTGCTAGTGAATTGTAACTTAGTGGCTTGGCTTTGTTAACAGGAAGGTGGGGGGAGAAGGCTGTCCTGCAAACAGGAAAACTGAGTCAATGACCCAGCCAATTAACCTTAAAGGCCAATTAACCCTAAATGCCTGATTGCCAGGATTAACTAACTCCCCATTCATGATGAGAGGTAGCATCCTTAAGAGAGAGAGTTAAAAAGAACCTCTCTAGCCAATGCATCTCTCTGGTAGTTTTGAAGGTCACTTCCCCATGGACAAATCAGGATGAGGGTTTGGGGGAAAAGTTGCAGAACTCCCACCCATAGTGGTATCAATCCAATTTTACCACTGATTTAAAAAACAGAGCTTCAGAAAAAAAAACCAGCATTTATTTAACTGATTCAGTGTTAATTCTGTTTGAATTTAATTCATTTTAATTTTTATTTCATCTGAATTTGGATTAAATGACATTTCACTGTCCCCCCTGTCCTTAGTTTGTTAATGCTGCTTTGTTACCCTATGCCCAGCAAAATCTGCTCATTTCTAATCTAAACCTCATGTTCTGGACATTCAGTCTGGCCCCACTTAAAATTACCCTATTAAATAGAAATGATCAATCTTTTGCATCCTGGCTGAGGCCACACATAAT